GTTAAGTAGCAGAGGGAGTTGCTAATCATTTTCAGCTACAATGAGACGACTCCCAAAACAGGAATGGCTTTACAGGTGGAGGCCACTGACATTTTTTCCCCTACTCATCTCTTCTGACTAGTTTTGTATTTGGCTAGGGTCAATGTCACTACTAGTATCATGAGGCAATACCTGAACCCTACAGAGGTTTCACAGGCAGTCTAAATCCTCCAGGATGGCACATCAATACGTGTCATTGCCAGAAGGTTTGTGGTTTCCAAGCACAGTCTCAAGAGCATGGAGGAGATTCCAGGAGACAGGCAGTTACTCTAGGAAATCTGGACAGGGCCGTAGAAGGTCCTTAACTCATCAGCAGGACCGGTATCTGCTCTTTTGTGCAAGGAGGAACAGGATGAGCACTGCCAGAGCCCTACAAAGTGACCTCCAGCAGGCTACTGGTGTGAATGTCTCTGACCAAACAATCAGAAACAGACTGAGGTCTGAGGTCCTCTGGTGGTCTCTGTGCTCACTGCTTGGCACCATAGAGCTCAATTGGCATTTGCCATTGAACACCAGAATTGGCAGGTCTGCCACTGGAGCCCTGTGCTTTTCAAAAACAAGAGTAGGTTCACCCTGAGCACATGTTGTAGATGTGAAAGGGTCTGGAGAAGCCGTGGAGAATGTTATGCTGCCTGGAACATCTTTCAGCATGACTGTTTGGGTGGTGGGTCAGTGGTGGTCTGGGGAGGCATATTCATGGAGGAACGCACAGACCTCTAAAAGGCTAGACAACAGCACCCTGACTGCCATTAGGTATCGGGATGAAATCCTTGGACCCATTGTCAGACCCTACGCTGGCACAGTGGGTCCTGGTTTACTCCTGCTGTACAACAATGCCCGGCCTCATGTGGCGAGAGTATTCTGGCAGTTCCTGGAGAATGAAGAAATTGATACCATTGAGTGGCCCCCACGCTCACCTGACCTAAATCCAATAGAACACCTCTGGGATATCATGTTTCAGTCCATCCTACGCCACCAGGTTGCACCTCATACTGTCCAGGAGCTCAGCAATGTCCTGGTCCTGATCTGGGAGGAAATACCCCAGAACACCATCCATCATCTCAGTAGGATCATGCCCCAACATTGTCAAGCATGCATACAAGCACGTGGGGGCCATACAAACTATTGAGTAACAATTTGAGTTGCTGCAATGAAATTTCAGCAATATGGACTAGCCTGCTGCATCATTTTTTCACTTTGATTTTCTGGGTGTCTTTGAATTCAGTCCTCTGTAGATTGATAAAATTTCATTTCCAGCAAACAATGGGGCATCCTTACGTCCCTAACACATTACCCAGTCCATATCAGTATAGATATCCAGCATGATATTTTTCCCCATTGAGATCTGATGTGTTTTCAAAATGTTCCTTTAATTTTTTTGAGCAGTGTATAAAAATTTAAAAAAAATATATACAGTTTCTTTATTATTGTCTAAAAATGTTTCTTTTATTTGGTAAGGTAAGCTGTACAAAAAAAAAAAAAAAAAAAGTAAAAAAAAGAAGGATTTTTATTTTTTTTCCTTTTTAGCCAGCAGCTGATGCTCTCTGCACACTTTCACATTTCCCTTTACAGCCTCAGTAGATAGGTGTTATTTAACCCTCCTAAATATCATTCAGGAATGACTTGTCTCTCAGACTGAGAATATACAGGGTGATTTAATACTTTACTGGACATACAAATGCCAATATAGGGCAGACAGTTGGAGTAATCAAAAAAACCTGTGCAAAAAAAAAAAAAAAAAAAAAATTAAATTCCTAAACCAAAGGCTGCTGCTCTTTGTTGACAAACCAACAAACAAACAAAAAAAAAAAAAAAATTTAATATATTTATCTATATCTCAAAAAAAAAAACAAAAAAAAAAAAAAAAAAAAAAAAAAAAAAAAACACAACAACTTACATGAAAAATATATAACATGTCAAATCAAAAGTGCAAAAATAATAAAAGTCCCAATCCCAAAAAAAATGAAGATATCCTAAATCCAATGTGCTCCAAAATGGAGCGGGACGCTGCGTTCCAGAGCCATCTTTACTGTGTCCATATCTATCTGAGCTGCCAGTTCACACACTACGGGAATCTTAATTGGCAGAAATTGATTTGAAGTTCATATGTAATTGACCCAAGGCATTTGTTGTTTAAGTAAATGGTTCTTATGTGGTTTCTTCATTGCCACAATTATTCAACCCCTTAAAGACTACCACTCTGAAGAACAGAGGTTCATACAGGTGCTTTCCATCAGGTATTGAAAACACCTGTGGATGTCACCGAGCAGCAATCAAGCAAATAAGCACCAATTAGGCAGCTTTAAAATGACTGTGATACTCAGCTCCTTCTAGACATTTACTGGTGTGGTTACAAACATGGTGAAGGCAAGAGAATGGTCCAGGAAGACAAGAGAAGAGGTGATTTCTCTTCACAGGAAGGGCAATGGCTATATAGAAGATTGCAAAGATGTTAAACATACCAAGAGACACCTTAGGAAGCATCATTCGCAAATTCAAGGCAAAGGGCACTGTTGAAACGCTACCTGGTCGTGGCAGAAAGAAGATGCTGACTTCGACTGCTGTGCGCTACCTGAAGCGTAGAGTGGAGAGAAGTCCCCGTGTGACTGCTGAGGAACTGAGAAAAGATTTGTCAGATGTGGGTACAGAAGTTTCAGCCCAGACAATAAGACGCACACTGTGTAATGAAGGCCTCCGTGCCAGAAACTCCCAGGCGTACCCCCTTGCTGTCTCCAAAGAATAAGAAGAGTCGACTGCAGTATGCCAAAAGCCATGTGGACAAACCACAAAAGTTGTGGGATAGTGTTCTGTGGACTGATGAAACAAAATTAGAACTGTTTGGGCCCATGGATCAACGCTATGTTTGGAGGAGGAAGAACAAGGCCTATGATGAAAAGAACACCTTGCCTACTGTGAAGCATGGTGGAGGGTCAATCATGCTTTGGGGCTGTTTTGCTTCTGCAGGTACAGGGAAGCTTCAGCGTGTGCAAGGTACCATGAATTTCTTCAGTACCAGGAGATATTGGATGGAAACGTGATGCAGTCCGTCACACACCTGAGGCTTGGGAGACGTTGGACCTTTCAACAGGACAATGATCCCAAGCATACCTCCAAGTCCACTAGAGCATGGTTGCAGAGGAAAGGCTGGAACATTTTGGAGTGGCCATCGCAGTCACCAGACTTAATCCGATTGAGAACCTCTGGTGGGACTTAAAGAAAGCAGTTGCAGTGCGCAAGCCTAAGAATGTGACTGAACTGGAGGCCTTTGCCCATGAAGAATGGGCGAAGATACCCGTAGATCGCTGCAAGACACTTGTGTCAAGCTATGCTTCACGTTTAAAAGCTGTTATAACTGTAAAAGGATGCTGTACTAAGTACTAAGATTGAATGTCACTTGGGGGTTGAATAAAACTGATAATGCTGTGAGCACAGAAAAGACATTTGTGGTTATTTCATTATAACTGTTATGTTATATTTGTCTGACCTACAAGTGCCTCTTTAATGTAAATGTAAGCAAGATGACTGAATGATCAAAAGCAATGTCAAACTGGCCAAAACACTCAATTTCAGTGGGGGTTGAATAATTTTGGCCACAACTGTATGAGTGCAATTGATGCATCCATTTTTAGAATTAAATTCTTTTGACAATATTACACTATCAGTTTTTCTTCTCTTTTTTACACTGATTGAATGTGTGGGAAATCCTTCTATTGGAGTATTCTTCTGAGCAGTGGAACCCCTATTGGCAGGATAATATAATATCCACAAAGCGTATTTGACTCTTAATCACTGAGAGTCCACTATATTTGGTGAGTGCAGTATATGTTGGGTATCATGGATGGTGTTTATACACTGAAATGTTCTGCATACGGCACCTTTTATTTATTTATTTATTTTTTTTGGAGCATATTGGATTTAGGATATCTTCATTTTTGGATTGGGACTTATTTTTTGCACTTTTGATTTGGATATTTTATACATTTTTCATTCAAGTTTTGTGATTTTTTTTTAGCAGTGTTTATTTTCTATAGACACAGTTGGAGTGTTTTGTACTACATGTCCAATAAAGTAGGATATAAGCAAGCAAGGGCATTTTGCAGCATGGAGTATAGACTGACCAGTGAGTGAACACTTTGCTGCAGTTGGCCAGCTTGAACATGTATTGCAATATATGAAAAAAATGCTAAAGTTTTCTAATTATGCGAGCATGTAGAGCAGTGTACAAAGTGTTCAGAATTTTCAGTGTTGACGCATGGTCATATCTTATTAGCATGTATTTGGATTTGTACACATATACACACGGATTTGGATTTGAGCAGAGCTGTATCTCCATCTGTACAAATGATGTAAACACACAGCTCCTGACCTGGTGACATATTGTACATTTAGTGAAAACACTGGAATCTGGAATGTTCCCTCCTGGCACACACACTGTGCTATTGTTACACATGCCCACTGGCCGTGCCAATTGCAGCCCCCAGTTCATAATGCAATGCTCTCCTTACCACAGCCTCCATGTGGGGGAGAAGAAACTCATTCTTCCTTCACAGCTAGAGACTGTGGTATTCATGGCACGTCTCCTCATAAGGAATCTGCACCTCAGTAAATGGCATAACTCAAGTCTTTATTCACAACTCTGAATGGAAGGGATGCGGTCGTAACACTTGTAAAGATGTACACAAAGTTCCTAGAAATCATCTAAAAATAAATACTAAAAAAAAAAAAAAAGACAAAATAAAGCAAATATACAGTTTAGACCTGCTCTGCAGGTAATATTGGAAACACTATTCCACAGTACTCCTCCTGAAGGGCGAGAAGTGATGCTCTGCTGAGGAGGAAGGTGCCTCTTCACAGTCCCATAGGGCACAGAGAGAAGGAAGGAACAGTCGGCAGAGATGGAAGTGGCACCATGTAGGCCAAGACAGCCAAGGTCCTGCAGCCTCATGTTGGCAATTCAAAAATCACACGACGAGAGTCTTCTGAGAAGGAGGGCTGGTTATGGTGCGTTTTTTCCTCTTCCTTCTGAGTAGATAAAGATATAAATAAATCCATGGGTACTATTGCTACATAGTACAATTGAGCCATGTACAGAAACATATGAAGAATCAATTTATATACTGACTGGGCTATTCATTTTACTCAATAAAAAGGAGCAAAGAAATGAGCACAAAAATCAAATATTCCAGGGCTACAAATCAAAATGAATTTTACGAAGATCAGGCTTATACAAGAGGGTTTCTGATTAGTTGCTATGGCTTTGGTATGGTCTGCCCCCTTTCACTATTTACTTTTCATTTGCTTTAAGCTGATCATACACCAATACACTTTTCATCCAGCCTGTGGACTGAACAACTGAAATCTAACGGATTCCTCCATCCACGCTCAACAGCACAGATGGACAAATCTCCCATAGCAGGTATTCCACCATCTGTCAGAATACTCAAACAGGTGCTTGTTCAGCCAACCATTTTCCTCCTGGCTCCTTCGATTTTTCAATTGAAGGATGCTGGCCGGAGTAATACCAACATGCCACCCACGGACCAAATTTTGTCTGCTTCATTAGGAACTGCCCACAATTTGCTCAATGTATGGCCAGCCTAATGCCCTACCCCTCCCCAATATATACTTAGCTTTACCGTCAGTTAAACATATCTATAAGACAATACTAAGGATGCAAGTTCTACTTGCCTGCCTGTTCAGTCAGTGACAAAAATATACTAAAACCAGAGACAGCAAGGCAATTTCAGGAAAAGGGTTAGCAATGGCAGACTCCATACTTCTATGTATAGATTTAAAGCTGAAATCAGGGCAGCTATTGGATATAGGCATTTTGCGTTCTCTGGGCAAGGGCTAGATACTTGTTTAGTCTAAGGGAGTGTCAGGAATAGACAGAAATGGTTACTTTATTTATTACCCCTACAGGCTTCCTCACTGTAGGACAACTGGTCCAACTAATCACTGCTCTTCAACTGTTGAGTGGCTGCACCCTTGCTGATGGCATCATGTGTTGTATATGACCAGTGTTTCTGCATTGTACGTGGGGACATTGAGGGACCACCTACACTGCAGAACAGAGGAGAGCTCTGACTACTGGGAAAGCAAGGAATAAGCTAGGCATTTCGGTCTATCCCTTACCGCTCAATTCAAAATAGGGCAGCCTAAAAATACTAATGGCTGACTGGAGTTCAGCTTTAAAGTGGCTGTCACTTAAGAATAAATCAAAGTTTAGTGTCCCTGTTTAACTTAAAAAAAGAGCCTTGCATTGCTCTTAGCTGACTCTAAATTCCTTTTTGCGGTTGTGATCTGACTGTGTTAGTGTGTGGTTATGTTTATTCTCCATGATCCCATTGTATGTAGGAAAATAGCCACCTTCTACTTCTTGTTCCCAAGATGGACCATGGACTGTGGGATTAGTAGTGTGCATGGAGAAGTACACATAACCACCAATGTGCACTGCTCATTCAACACCAACGGAAGTGCAGGGGAAAAAATGAAAGTTTTAACAAAGCCTTGTTATTGTTTAGTGTAAGACTGCTCGGTTCTAAATGTCCAAAGTGTTGCAGTACAGGATATTTTATCCCCTTGCTGCATCATGTAGTTTAAAAAGAGATTACTGAATATACAGCCTGGTTGCATTACAGTAATACATCTTGAAGGTTCAATTGAACGCTTAAGTCTCTTGATTGTTTTGTAGATGATAATAATAATAATAATAATAATAATAATAATAATAATAATAATAATATTGCATCTCTAGGTAGATAGGGACCTGGCTATAAGAGGCAGTCCCTTAATACTTACTTATTTGGTGGGGACACCATGCATTTCCATAAGATTGCATACAGGCAGAGCAGGAACATTATGAAGATACCGGCAGCTATCAGACCTGCAAAGACCATCAAGCGATCAAATTAGATAACAAAAATAAGAATACAGAATGCTAATCACAGAAAAACAAATTATTTTGCTCAATTAACAGAAATCCAAATTCAATCTGTATCTATTCAGAATTTACTCCGCTGAAGCCAGAACAGTACATAATGAAGCTGGATTGGTGCATATCGGTCACTGCACTGCATAGTCAGCACTCTGTAACAGACGTGACTTAAGCTGGTCATAGATGAATTGAAATTCAGCCAGTTCAGCAGAGACCAGCTGAATTTCGATCCATGTATAGTTGTTCCTGTTAAAAAAAAAAATTGTTACGCTCAAGTGTGAATGTAGAACAGTTTAGTTTGGGATAACAAGGTAGGGCTCTCCAGGACATTTCACCAGACCAAGCAAGTTCCAGCCTTTGAATAAAAACACAATAACTAATATATATTACATACACACCCCTCAGCATACATGAGTACACCCCTTTTTGAAAAGTAAGATTTTAATCAATATCTCAATGAACAAAAGAACAATTTCCAAAATTTTGACTGAGGTGATTGTAGCCATATTAGTGCACTTGCAGCAGAGTACTGTCTGTGATCCTTTTATTTGCACAAACATACAATTTTTAGGGGGTATGTCTCCTTCAAGTTCCAAGCAGTACTACTTCAAAGTATTAGCAGAATGTTAAAAGAAAATCACTGAGGGTGAGAAAAAAAAAAAAAACAAAAAGCCACACACAAATATATGTGCACAGCAAATGGATATAAAACTATGATTAGACTAGAGAGATAAGGGCAAAATCAAAAGATTGACAAAACTGAGTTTTATAGTAAATGTTTTAGCTCATTACATGAAAGTAAGCTTAATATTAAAAAAAAAAAAAAAAAAAAAAAACTTTAGCTTACAAAAATGAATACACCCCACAACAAAAACTACTATTTCTAGTACTTTGGAGTATTTTGTATGACCTCCATGATTTGTAAGGACAGCACCAAGTCTTCTAGGCATGGGATGAACAAGTTGGCGCCATATTGCAACATCTATCTTTTCCATTCTTCAAGAACAGCCTGGATGCTGGATGGAGAGCGATGCTCAGCTTATCTCTACAGAATTCCCCATAGGTGCTGAATTGAGTTCCGTTCAAGAAACATACTTGGTCACTGAAACCACTTTCACCCTGCAGAAATGCAACAAGTGGCCTTAGATGTGTGTTTGGATCATTGTCATGTTGGAAAACTGCACAATGACCATAATAATTACATAGTCAGGCTGAAAAACAGACAGACAAAATTCCATCTAGTTCAACCAAGAAAAAAAAAAAAAAAAAAAAAAAAAAAAAAAAGTTATAATCCCATACCCACAGTTGATCTGGAGGAAGGGACTCAGGGCACGGAGTGATGGTAGCATCTTCTCTTACAATATAGAGCAGTACATCTGTGCATTTATAATACTATGAATGAAATGCAGCCCCCCGATACCAGCAGCACTCATGCAGCCCCACAGAAGAACACTACCACCACCACCATGTTTCACTGTAGGCACCATGCATTTTTCTTTGTACTCCTCACCTTTGCGACGCCATACAGTTTGGCAGCGATCAGTTCCAAAGACATTTATTGAGGTCTCATCACAGATTAGAGTCCCAGTAGTCATCTTTTTCAGCATGGGCCCTGGCAAATTATAGGTGGGCATTTTTGTCCATGGGCTTTAGGAGAGGCTTCCTTTGTGGACGACACCCATGCATGCCATTCCTCTGCAGTGTACGCTGTATTGTGTCACGGCAAACAATCACCCCAGTTTGGCTTTCTACTTTAGCTAACTGCAGTGAACTTGAATGGTGATTTTGTTCAACCCTTCTCAGAAAACACCACTGTCGAGTTGTTAACGTCTGTGGATAGCCTGGACGTCTGTGAGATGGTTGCAGTTCCATGCTTGTATCACTTTTGCTATAGTATTCGGACTGATAAGTAAAGCTTTGCTGATCTTCTTGTAGCCTTCACCTTTCTTGTGTAAAGAAATTATCTTCTCTCTCAGGGTTTGTGATTCTCTTCATTGTGGTCCCATTGCTGAAAGCATGAAATGGGAAGGGTTGTGTTTGTTAAGTAATGCTCTTTTAAAATCAGCTGTCTGCTGGACACCTGCTTAACAAGAATTCGACTACAGACGAGTCGAATTATTCATTAATTAGGATTTTCTTTAAAATTTAGCTTTGCTCCTAAGACTTTCACTGGTGTGTATTCATTTTTGCAACATGGTCTTGAATGAATTTGTTAGGAAAAATACCGTGTGTGCAAAATTAACAAATCTTGTTTGAAATCAATGGCCCACATTGTTGGAAGTATTTTGTAGTATTGAAAAATGTTGATACTGAAAGGAAAGTTTTTCTGACAAATCTGTTAAGGTGTACTCATCTATGCTGATCATGAATCCATCAACTACCACCAAGTTCTTTACAACAATGTCAACCTCTCAAACTTTGCACTGTCCAGTATTAACTCACCTGGTACTAGCCCGCTTGTGGGTCCTGCAGGAATGCTGCCCCCATTTGTAATGTTAGGGGGAGATCTCCAATCTGTGGAAGCTGTATGCAAATCACCATATCTAAACTCTTCAGTACTGTTTACAGAACCCCCCTATGAAAAACAAGATGTGTGATAAAAGTTAACAGTCTTGACTAAAATAGAAGGTAAAGTTGGCCTATTAAAATTCTTACTTTACACCAATGAAAAACTACTCTTCTTTCCCAAGGATAACAAAAAAACCTTGCTCCTAAACTCCCTTGTGTGATCGGAGGTCTAGGCAAAGACCATGTGGACTCTGCAGGCACTATGATTGCTTCTGGTCATTCAAGATTGTCCCGTAGAAATGCGTGTTATGAGATAGTCAATAAGGTAAAAATTTTAATTTAAGAAGCAATTTTAGGAATGTGGAAACCATTTTAGAAATCTAACTTTTTTTCCTCCCATGGATGTTATTGCATGGATGAGCTGAAGAATGCATGGCTTTCTGCACTGCCCAGTATTCCGTTATCTACAGTTAAAGCAGAACTAAAAACTTTTACTGTAATAAACAACAACGAGCAGACAGGCTCTTTATTGCAGAAGAGACATAGGGATGTTACATACATGAAAGTGTGCTCCTTCACATTTTACATCCTCTGCCTTCCCTGATACCCCCACAGCTGTGATCTATGGGGAGGTTCATATGAGTAGCATTTCCAGCAACGAAAATCACTATGAATGGAGGGGATAAATTAAAAGGTCCACCTCCTATTTATAGAATGCTTTTCATTGTGGAAATCAATAGTATGGCTTCTATGAATGGAGTACCAAGGCACCACCAGTAGATCACAGCTGCGGGGGTATCTGGGGGGGCAGATGACACTCACCTTCCAGGAGTACCAACTGGTGCAGATTTTAAACAACACACACACCACCAATCATCACTAAACTCCTGCTTTAATGTGCTCTCATAGGAGGTACATTGCAACATAATTTCGGCTAGACTAGTTGGCAGCTCTCGACTACTGAACTTTGCTCTCTCCATACTAAACTAGGTCAAACTATGAACAAGCTGATATATACTGCATATGCTTGCATCAGTTGTGCGCACTGTAGAAGTTCATGTTTTCGGTTTATATGATAACAGAACATACGGTTCATTAGCAGAAACCCTGAACTTTCCTCAGATGCTCAGCATCGCCTTATCTCTATATAACCTAGTTTCTGCAAAGCCAAGTGAAAAAAATGTCTATCAGACCTCATGCACACTGGGCGTTGAGCTCCTGTGCTTCAGAGACTGTCGTTAACGTGGGGGTAGAACACACAGGTGTACCATCCAGCCCTGCTAGAAAACAGCCTCCAAAAGTCTATGAAAAGCTGAAAATTTGGTGGTTGGTGTATGGAGTGGTAGCAATGTTAAAGCAGAGCTCCAGTCAAACCAAAAATAAACATACATAAAATTGTAGCTGCTGACTTCTGAAACATAGCCACTCATTGTCCCATGATCCTGCGGTGTACTCCCTGCACCTGGTTTCACCTACTGCCCTCGCTCCCCAGCACCAACATCTTAAGTGTGGGTACCCAACTGACAACTTGCAGCAGTTTCGTGATGGAGGACTTTTTTTCCCCCTATCTTCCCCTGGCCGTTTTTAGACATCTATAGCAACACTGAGGTTCCAGTGAAGAGGGGCTTATTCCATATATTTTCATTTTTGTGGGTTGGACTTCCAAGTTCAATTTTTTTGAAGCACCGTACTTTTGTATATTATTTCACAGCCAGGTACCCACTTTGCGAGTAGCACTGCACCTTGTGAATGATCCCGTAGTCTTCCGAGACCGGTCACGTGTCCCCGAAGACTACTGTGTTGCATGGCTATTTGACAGCTTAGATATTATGTGAACTCATAGATTTTATGACCATACATTTTAGAAGCTAAGGCTTCCCCTACTGGTATGCAAATTAACCAGTTGGACTAGTTTATAAGCCACACAGGAAGCTCCTTACAGGAAATGATGTACAGGAAGTGGGGAGGGATTATGACTTGGAACAACCATGTGGTAAGAGACAAAGAAAGTTGTTTTTTGGACTTTGGGGAATAGGCAGAGACAAAGAAGGACACTTGTTCTGAAGGCAGACAAGGAAGCAGTTGGACTCTGAAGGAAGATCCTGGAACCCTTGAGAAGATTCTATTACTGTAAAGAACTAATTAACTTTTATTGTATGCCCATCACATAGTCAGCATGTGCATGTTTTAGGCACATTTTGCTATGATGTGTGTGTTCTGCAGTTGTATGGGCAGATTCTGTTTAGTAAAAGCATTAATATACTACAGAGGTCTAAAGCCCCGTACACACGATGAGAATATTGGACAATCGTCCATTTTTTTTTTTTTTGCCTGCTAGTCTCACATCGAAATTGAAAGGTTACTACAGATATGAAAATTCTCGTACGAAAGAAAAGCATTTTGAAACTGATGTCATGTATTTGTATTGTATTTTCAGACGACTACTGTACGGAATGAAAATCGTATGATCTGGTATCGTACGGGAAAAATGTTCACACTTATCCCTTCGGATATCGGCGCACGAATTGTCGTGAACGGTTCATGAAAGCGGTGTACCAACAATCCGATTATCGGATGATCGGTCCTTGTACGAAAATGTTCGTACAAATTTCTTATTGTGTGCACGGGGCATTAGTTTCCTTGGCTTTTAAATAAATTACATCAAGCTAAACCACTACGACAACGGAGGGGACAGAGGCTAAATAGCCAGCATGCACAAGGCCTTTGAACTTGACAGCGTTCATGACATCTCGGTTTTCAGACTGCTCTGCATCACTCAAATGGAAAGTATGCGGGTGAGCACCGTCTGCCAGCTCCTTAGGCAGGTTCTGCTCCAGTGTGGTGCCTGAGGGAAATGTCAGTTGGTCACAGCACTGCATCTACTTGTCCCGCTCTTCCCAACTATGTAGCTTTTCAGGTTTTCCTGCTGTGTGTGCTTGTCTGAGGAGCACAGGAATTTCAGGAGGAGGTGGGATATCAGATTCCCCAGCTTGTCCTAACCAGCACACCACATCCTTTGGACATAAAACACAGATGCAATATCACCCTTTAAAAAGGATGAGCTTGAAATAAAAGAAATTGCAAGGTCTGATTGATGGCTATGAAAAACCTGTTTTTGGTGCATAAAGCTTTCTGTATTTGAGAAACAGCAATGAGCGGGTTTGAAAATATCTTTGTTACAGGACTGTGTTTATTAATTATGGGGCCCACTGCATAAACATAAAACAATGGATTCCTCCATCCATGCTATACACAGTAGATGGACAAATCTTCCACTTTGGCTATTGTACTTTGACAGCCATTCCTGCTGGCTCTCAAAATACCCAAACAGTTGACAACAATTTCAGTGCTTGGACAACACTCCTTCGAAGGATGTCAGGTTGGAGGTGGCTGACAGGAGCAGCCACTGTGCAAATTTCTGGCTGGTTCATCAGGAAATGCCAAAATTCATACAGTATTGCCAGCTTTAGGCTCCATGCACACTAGAAATTTCCTAAACTCCTAGAAGCGGTTATTAGCATTTTATTCTGTTCCAAGAAGCTAATTCTATGTGTTCATGCATACTACTTTAGGCTATTAGTGTTTTCTGAGCTTCAGCGTCTAGGAGCAGAAATAAAAAAAAAAAAAAATATAAATAAAATACCCCCAACACAGTTCTCACAAATGCTGCTAAGATGCTCCCAACAGCTTTTTTTCTACATGTACTGTAAAAACATTTAGTATCACTTAGGGGCGTTTTTTTTTTTTTTATTAACAAATGCTATTACCAGCATTTCTTTATCCAGGGTTTAGTGTAAAAATTAAAAAGAAAGAAAAAAAAAAAAAAAAAAAAAAAAAAGCTAGTGTGCATGGGGCCTTAGGCTTAAGCTCAGGCTCCATGCACACTAACTGAAAGAGGATTAAAAAAAAAAAAAAAAAAAAAAAAAAAAACCCCTCACTTCCACAGGAGTTGTGCTTTGCCTATAGAAGCAGCTCAGTGTTATCCTACGTGTCCTCGTACATTAGAACAATTAGAGGCATATTTTAAAATAAACATTTAGAAGCAGGAAAAAAACAGAACCCTTCTTGTTTGATTGGAGCTTTCTGGCAGATAAACTCGCCAAAAAAAAAAAAAAAAAAAACCCACCACACTATGAGCTTTTTTTTTCTGCCAAGAGAACTTTTTTCTGTTTTTTCTTTTTAAGCCCAGTGTGCATGGAGCCTTACAAGAAAACACAGCATTCAGTAGATAATATTAAATAGACACTAAACTCACATTTTCTATAAAATAAAAGCAGTATATTTAAAAATGAAGTAGGATGTACCTTCCATACCTCCTATCTCACTCTGTTTCATCTCTCAAACGTGGGCTTTCTGCTGTTATATGGGGTGGCTGAGTTCGTTCTCCATGCTCTCCTTATGTGAGCTTAGCCACCCTTTCCTGGTTGCCCCAAAGAAGGGACTACACATTTACCTACAGACACATTCAGCTCTATGGGAATTGTAGTACACATTACATGATTCAGTTTGTTTTTTGGATGAAAATCAAATTTTTGTAGGATTCAGATGTATTGAATTTCCCAATGGACATAGTAAGGAATCTGAATGACTGAACCCCCCCCCCCCCCAAAATACACACCAGAGTGAGGGTCTTCTCCCCCTTCCCAAATCCATACCAGCCCATATATATGAGTATATATGAATTTTAAAGGGGAACACCATACCAATTTTCTTCCCTCCAAAAAATCCATACCAGACCCTTATCTGCACAGCTTGGCATGGCCAAGAAAGGAATCACTCGCCTCCCCCCATTCCCCTCCTGAAGGCGGTCAGCAGCTGGCGTTCATTGTGATTGATGTTGGATCTACTTTGGGGGCTTTTTTTTTTTTTTTTTTTTTTTTTTTTAACGTGACACTAGGATGAAATATAGGGAATACTATGCACCCCATACTCATTCACATAGGAGGGAAACCGGGTTCTTGGGGCCCCTTGATCTGGTATGGTTCAGGAAGGGGGGGGCGGTGTGCTCCCCCTCCCCCTCATTTCCTGGCCTTCTGGTCTGCATGCTCAGATAACGTATAGATTTTT